AAATTTAAAAAACAAAAACAAAAAACCAGTCGAGTGTTCTCCAGAGAAACAGAACCAGGATGTGTACATATAGGAAGAGTTCTATGTTAAGGAATTGGCTTGGGTGATTACGGAAGCCAAGAAGTCCCAAGTTCTGTAAAGCGGCCCAGCAAGCTAGAGACCCGAAAGAACTGATGGCGGCAGTGCAAGTTCAAAGGTTATCTGGTGCAGAATTCCCTCTTGCTCTGGGGAGATCAGTCGTTTATTCTATTCACTTTCAGTTTATTGGATGAGGCCTATCCACACTATGGAGAGCAATCTACTTTACTCTAAGTGAACTGATTTAAATGTTAATCTCATTTGAAAATACCTTCAAAGAAATATCCAGAATAAAGTTTGACCAAATTTCTGGGAATGATGGCTCAGCCAAACTGACAAATAAAATAAACGATCACACATAAGGATATACATATGAATATGCTCCTCTTACCTTGAGTCTTTCAGAAAACCAAAAATATACATTGCCAGGGTCAAATTAAATTATCTATAAAGGAGTAAGACTCAAGATGGCATTACATCTCATCAGCAGCACTGGATGTTAGGTAGCCACTGGAGAAATATTTTCAAAATTCTAAGGGAAAATGATTCTCAGTCTAGAAATTTTTATACATACTAACTACTTCTTAGGATGAAGAGTGAAATAAAGATATTTGGGACAGTACCATCAAAAATAATTAACAGAGGATATATTCCAGCTAAATATGAGTCCTAGGAAAAATACAGACTACTATAAATATGTGGATCAGAGAGCCAGTAAAATAGTTAAATTAAAATCACTGTTAGCTGTTTTTTAAAAAATCAAAGAGTATCATCTAAATTCTCAGGCGATCTCAACATGGGAAGTAGAATTGGGAGACATTAGGAGAAACAGAAGTGAAAGCCTGTTAGGATGTTTATCTTTATTAAGAAAGGATATGATGCTAATCAGTAGCTGAATCGTGAGAAAATAACATCTTTGTGTGTGAGTGTGCATGTGTGTGCACGTGTGTATCAAAGTTTAAGGGGGAGGGGGAGGGTATAGATCAAGTGGTAGAGTGCACGCTTAGCATGCATGAGGTTCAAGCCCCAGTACCTCCACTGAAAAACCAAATAAATAAATGAACCTAATTACCTGCCCCCTGCAAAAAAAATTTTTTTTTAAGTTTAAGGGTAAAAAAATGACAGTGAAAAAAGAACAAAGGCATAGCAAGAAAATGGAAAAAAAATATAGCAGTGTTGTGTTCTTAATTTTAAGCAACTTTGAATTCACAACAAAAAACAGTAAGCAAGACAGAGACATTTTATAGTAAGCAAGCAAGACCTCAGTTAAGACGTATCAATCATAAATATCAAGGCTCCAACTGGCGTATAATGAAAATTCAAAAACCAAAGCTACCAAAAACATATAACTAGACAAAAGTAGTCTAATAATAAAAGACTTTTTATTATATTTATTATAAACATTAAATAACCTCATTCAGGCCATAAAAATCAAGTATATACAAAATAAGATTCTAGAATATCCAAAGACCTAATTAATAAGGTAGATCCAATTAATATAGTGAAGTCTATACTTTAAAACCAGAAAATAATCTTCAAGAAAGAGAGTAGAAAGACATTTCTAAGCACACTACAAGAATCAGAAGCTTTAAAGATAAGATTTAATAAAATTTTTAAATATCTGTATAGCAAAAAATACTGGAAAACAAAATCAAAATGCAGTTACAAACTGAAGGAAAATAATTACCAAACATATATAAAAATTTCTAATTAGTAGACATTTTGTATTTTTTGCCCAGCATCCACAGCAGCACAACAATTTTGCTCTGGCAGACCATTCTGGCTCTCTGGTGTGGTAAGGCCCCACCTTGGGTACCAAGAAATGGGGGAAGAGATCATTTCCTCCACATAGCCACATGATGATTCAATCATTAGCACATGACCTATTCAGAGCCAGTAAGAAAGAATAAATGATAGGATTTCTGTGCAAGCAACTGGAAAAAAAGATTCTTCCACTGAATTTGGTGATATGAAGCTGTAAAGAGGCAACCATCTTGGTATCAAAAGGAAGATTAGCTTGAGGATGAAGTTGAAGGGCAAAACTAAGGAATGAACCCCAAAGTCTGGTGCCTAAATAGATTAGATAGAAATAATCAGAATGCTCAATGTCTTTAAATATATTGGGATGGTGGGGTGGTGGGCGGGCAGGGGTAAACAATTAGAAGAGAACTTGAGGCTGAATTGTGATATGTAGAAAACTATGCAAATGAAAAAGTAGTTATTACTAGGTGTTGTGAGTTGAATCGTATTCCCTCAAAAGATATACTGAAGTCCTAAACCATCCACCACCCTTATCTCTATGTATGTGTTCTTATTTGCAAATAGAATCAAGTTAAAATGAGGTCATACCAGAATAGGTAGGGCCCTAAATCTAACGACTGGTGTCCTAGTAAGGAGAGAAATAGAGCAATTAAGACACACAGGAAAGAAGGCCATGTGGACACCAAGGCAGAGACCTGAGCTATGCTGTCACAAGCCAAGGAAGGCCAAGGATTGCTGGTCACCCCCAGCAGTTGTAAGAGGCAAGGAAGGATTCTTCTCTAGAGCCTCCATAGAGAGCATGGCCCTTCCAACACCTTGACTTTGAACTTCTAACCTCCAGAGCTATGAAAGAATAAACTGCTGTTGTTTTAAACTACTTAGTTTGTGGTAATTATCTATAACAGGGCTAGGAAACTAATACACTAGATAATTACTAACTTTAAGGACAAGCAAAAAGTTGCACAGGAAAACAAATGTAACTGGTATAATACACATCCGTTTTGAGTAGCATTTATATAAATAGAATAATGTAAAAAAATCATGACAATCATATCGAGAAGATGAGGTAAGAGGAACTGGTGATCCATTTGTTTATTTGAGGCAGGAAAACTAAATTCTTCTATCATGAGAATGTTACCTGCTACCATGGGTATGCAACAGATAATGTTAAAGTTGAGAAATTAAGTAATATCATTATAAGCTTAGTATATAGAGATATGGGAATAAATGGCCAAAGAAACAGCTAAAAGTTGAAAATGATCACCCCTAGGAAATGAGACATGAGAAGCTGGGTGTGGGGTGCTAGAGTGGATTGTTTCTTCATAATAAGCATGTTCAATTATTTATCTTATGCATGTTACCAATTTTGATAAAAATAAAAACACAGGGGAGGAGATAGCTCAGGGGTACAGCATGTGCTTAGCAGGCATGAGGTCCTGGGTTCAATCCCTACTACCTCCAATAACAAAATAAACCTAATTACCTCCCCCCAAAATAAATAAATAAAACAAAATAAAAAAGGAAAATTAAGCAAAAATGAACAGACAATTCACAAAGGAAGAAACTCAAATAAGGAAAATATGAACACATGCCTAATCTCAATTAGCAATTAAATCAATTTAATTTAAAATAAACAAAAAATAAATTTAACAATATTAAATTAAATATTAAAATCTGCCACCAAGAGGTGACAGAAATATCAATAAATAAAATTAGTTTGGGGAGAAATTTGGGAATTTGAAAATGTCTAGTAAAATTTAAAATGCGTATATATTACAACCCTGCTGATCTACTCCAGGTTGAATTCCAGGAAATTTCTGTAAAAGACCAGAAAAATCATGTTTAAGAAAGTTAATTACAGTGTTCATAATAGTGAAAACCAGGAAAAAACTAAATGTTTACCAGTTGATATTTATCCATTCCAGATAGAATTGTTTTATATTTTCAAAGAATAAAAAAACTGTATGGCAATTAACTGGAGTAAACTAACTTTACATAATAAATCTCAGATAATGTTGAGTAAAAAAAAAAAAGAAATTGAAAACACAGTATGTCCAATCTACTACCAGTTACATAAATCTGAAAACATAAATAAATCAGATGTTGTTCATGAATATATGAACGTAAAAGCTTAAAAACATGGGTTAGATGCATACTAAGTCCACAAGAGAAGATACTTTGGATTGAGAATTACAAAATTGAACTGAAGGTGAGTACACAAAGAACATCCATTTCATTTGTAATATTTTGGTTCTTATATTTTAAAACTATTTTAAGGAAACATGAGTATACTAACAATTGTCAATTATGGGTGGTGGGTATTCACGATTTTTAAAAATGTCATCCAAGTACTTTTCTGTGTTTTTATTTGTCAAATTTAAAAAACTAGATGTAAAAATGTTTTATCGGGAAAGAAATTTCAAAAATCAACTCAAAAAGAATGAGTAAAGTAACTGAATAGTCAAAATAGTCAAAAAGTAACTAGTCTAGTAACCTACAGAAGGTGCCCCAAAACATCAGAGAACTACCCACTAAAAAAGGCACCAAGCCCAGTTTTATAGGTAAGTTCTACCAAATGTTCCAGAAACAGTGACCTAAGGACAGCATAATCCTGATACAAAACAGAGCCAGATTATTAGCATTCCAAATTCAGCAGTGTATTAAAAGAAAAATGCATCATCTTGTTTCGAGTGAGGTTTATGAAAAGGGCACATTCCTAACCTCAGTAAGACAATTTTTGTAATATACTACAGTAAAAAATGAAATGAGGAAAAAAGCTTTATCTTAAAACTCAAAGCTGATAGTTCAGCATTTGTAAAAGAAAAAAGGTAAAATTTAGTAACCATATGTATTTGTTCAAACGTTTGCAAATTACGTAGAGAAGAAAACTTCTAAAGTAGAACAAGGAAAGAAACATTCCCCTCAGTCAGACACAAGAGAGGATGCCTCTACCCAGTGCTATCCCATAAAATAAAATAAATCTTAATATTCTAAAGAAGAAAGCAAATGTCAGTAGTTGCAGATTATACAGTATCTAACCAGAAATTCCGAAGGCATCCACCGGCAAACTGTAAGCGAGGCGACTCTCCGCCCCCCCGTGCCCCGCCCCCACGGCTGGGCCCGCGCCCTTGCATGTACGCATGCGCACTTGTGGCGCATGCGCGTGGGTCGGAGAAGACAGACATGGCGGCGCCCAGTTTCCCCACGCCGCTGTACGGGCATGTGGGCCGCGGCGCCTTCAGCGACGTGTACGAGCCCGCGGAGGACACGTTCCTGTTGCTGGACGCGCTGGAGGCGGCGGCGCCTGAACTCACGGGGTGCGAGGAGGGTGGGGGGGTCCCCGCAGGAGAGGTCTTGGGAATCCTGGAGCGGTGGCGGCGGAGGACGGAGGAAAGGACTGTGGCGCCGCCCTCCCGAGAGGAGGCGGTGTCGGCCCACTTGGCACTTGGTTGACACCAGCACACCGCAGCTGACGATATTCCTGTAGATACACTTAAAACATGTTCCAGGGATCTGCTTTTGCCGAAATGGTGTTTTTGTTTCAGGGACTCCGTGCCTCCTTACCACAGCAGGCTGTACCTTTCTTATCAGTTGTTTATCAGGGAAATATATGCCCCTAAGGCCAGCGAAATTGTAACGTATTCAAAAACAGGACGCTCTGAAAACACTGCATCTTGTTAGTAATACAGTTTTTAGTAAATATTATTACCTCGTGGCGTCATTTAATTTACTCAGTACATAAAAGCATCCTCTAGCAATGGAAGGGAACGAAAACGAAATGAGGTTGTGAAATACTGGAGTAGGGAGGTGTATTTTAAACCACTGAATACTTAACTGTCTAGCAACAGCCATTAGTCTCATGTGGCTACTGAGCACTTGAAATGTGACTAGTACTGAATTTTTCATTTTTAATTGTAAAAAATTTAAAAGTTATAGTCAGCTAGCAAACCTGTAGAATATATTCTAGCAGCTAGTAAGTATTAATGTTGACTTGTTGAAGTGCTTACTATAAATTTTAAATTAATAAAAAGAATGAGTATCTACGCTGTCAGGATAATTAGATTTATTTTAAGATCAAGACTTGAAATGGATTATCTCAGGATGAAACAAACAGCTGTCAGACTTCAAAAATCCGTATTGTGTTTATTTATCCCTCTTGGTCAGACTTTTCCATGTATGCCCTAACTTTTATTAAACTTGTTTTTCATTATAAACAATGGAATTTGGGGGTTTACTGGAATATAGAAGGGAACAGTACTGTTTTATAACTTGTCTTTTATTCTCAAGATATCCCAGAAAAATTTACAAGCACAAATTGCCTTGCAAAGTATGCTGTAAAAGGAGCTGATTGTGTTTTAAAGTCTTGGATATTTCTGGTCTTGGAATTCTAATTATTCATGAGGCTATCATAGTTATTTTCAAATAGAATCTGCCTGGGAAGATTCAACAGACCTTCTCAGAGCACATTAAAGGCTTGTGAAATGGTTCCCTAAGCCCTAGAGTTTGTTGTTTTTGAGTAGTTGTTTGGGAGGTTAATTGCTAGAGAGGCCCCTAAGTCCCATCAAACCTATTTCTGTAATGGGGATAATTAGTGCCTTTGATGTACATATAAGATAATAGGCAAGGACAAATACGGTAGGATCAAGAATTTATTATATTCAATAGCATTCTTAAGAGTATCCTTAATATTCTAAGATAAGATACTCAAGTATTTTCCCAATTCAGTGTAGAGCTATACAAATAGGGAACTTCTTTGCTGCTCTAAATCTGTTATCAATAGAATGGGGGAACTTTTCTTCCCCGGGGGTATGTTAATGGATTTATGAATTACTTTAAAATGATACAGAAAATATCTTTCATGAATAAATACTGTAATGATACTAACCCTATCATTTTAGGGAGTACCAAACTAGCGTTCCTTGTGGGAAGGGCTGATGTCTTCCCTATTAATATTTCCAACCCTAAATTAACATTCCGCAGCTTGTATGTAATGTTTTGTAAAAATTAACTGAAAGCCATCTATTATAATACTATTTTACAGACTTAAATTACACACCCAAGATTTTGACAGTTGTGAGCTCTGCAGTAAATGAGCACAAAGTGGTTGTCCGAAAATAGCTTATTATAAATTTATTTTGTATTTCCATATATTTATAGGTGAGAGATGTTGCTGAAGAAATGGACATTAAAAGTAGCATGAGTTATTTTCTGTGATGTGTATTTTAATGCTATTGTACTAATATTTGTTTTATTTTGGTTTCCTAGAGTAGAAATATGCCTTGAAGTAGGGTCAGGGTCTGGAGTGGTATCTGCATTCCTAGCCTCTATGATAGGTCCTCAAGTTTTGTACATGTAAGTGTAAGTATACAAATTCCATCCACATCTCACTCTAAGAGATTCACTGTGAATATGACTGATTGGATGAAATCATTTTTCTAAGTAGATAACATGTATCCAGTAGTGTCTATTTAAGTATATATAACAAGGACTCAGGTTGCAAATTATGCTTCCCTAAAAATTAACTTCATGTTCATAACTGTTCAATAATGCTATGGAATTATAGAAGCAGCATAATAATTTTAGGTCATCTCTAAGTTATTATCTTAGATAATTTGATTACCAGGAAAAATTGGAAGTTCCTAAAATTTCTTTTTAGGAGATTTTAAAATATAGAAAATAAAAAGAAGAAAATAAAAATAACCTATAAATTTTACCACACATAGTCCGAGTGTGTTTCCTTCATTTTTTTTTTCATTTCCCATGTTTTTCATTTAATATCATTTAGTATCATGAGCATTTTCCTTTTTAATTTCATTTTTGGTAGCTACATAGTATTCCTTCATTGGATTCATAATTTAATAAATTCCTTCAGCTATGTGTACATGTAAGTGTATTCTACTATTGAACATTGTAACAATATAACAGTCTTTTCCCTCAGTATAACAAATCTTGGTTCTTTACTAAAGCATTCTAAGTTTTTTCTAAGTCTGCTTCATGTAAAAGGAATGGGCTATTTGAATTTTTGTCCATAGATATAGGATATAATTTTTTTCTTTTCTTTTTATAGATGCACTGATGTCAACCCTGAGGCAGCAGTGTGTACTCTGGAGACAGCACGCTGTAACAAAGTCCACATTCAACCAATAATTACAGATTTGGTAAGCTGTTAGTCTTCTTGTCCAGTACTTTAATGATTAATTTTCTTTTCAGGTAAGTTAAGGTCAGGATGGTTTAGGTCAAGGAATCTTGGATGATTAATTAGTTAATAAACTTTTAACCCACTAAACAAAATTAATTCTTGACTACTATAATCCATCTTTTCCGTAATTCAAAAAAACTTTCTATTGACTTATACAGATGAGATATCTTTCAGACAGAAGTGAAGAGAATCTATCAAACTGGCTTAAATAATAAGAGTAGATGGCTTCAGACACAGGAACTCAAATGCTGTTACAGGCATCTTGTTCTTAGCTCTGAACTTCTCTCTAATGGCTCTATTCCTGGGCAGTCTTTCCCTTCATAGGAACAAGATGCTTGCATGTCCATATCTTATTTCTTAGAAACCCCTCAGGGAGAGCAACACTTTCTGTTCAGTTGCTCTAGCAAAGCCCCAGAATGAGTACCATTTGTATCAACTTCGGTCACGTACCTATCTCTCCGTCTCTTGCTGTGGTCAAGGGGGATTGAAATACGAACATGATTGGCTTAGGCCTGAGTCACAGGGCCACTCCAGCAGCTGGGTTGGGATAAACCCCACCCAGACCACTTGCATTGAGAATGAGAGGATGTAGTTTCCCCAGTGAAAGTCAAGGAGACGTAATCAGAAGAAAGGCTGAATGAGTCCTGGGCAGGTAAAAACAGCAAATGACAACTGCAGAACCATCGTTTTAAGTGACACATCATACATTTTTCAGTTGCAGCTTTTAAAATATTTTAGATTATATTAGTAAGTCTTGGATAATTTTGAACTTTTTTTTTCAGTTTTAAATGGGAAATGCCTTTTTATAAGCAAAAATCATAATAGCATGCTCAGGGCATAAGGAATATAAAGTGCTTTCCGTACTTCTTGACCTTTATTATTCTTATACCGATAAGGATATTTAGCTTTTCTCCTTCTTAAACTTAGAAAGGATTTAGCAGCTTAAAAGGAATTAAACCAAAGATTGAAGAAATTCTTTACATTTCACTAAAAGTTATTACTCCCATTAGAAACTAGATTATCAAGAAAGGTACTTAGGTGATTTACTTATGAAGATAATGTGGTGATTTTGCTCTTTAAATTTTTAAGTTGTTTCTTTAATGTGTCCATCGTTAGTAATAAATACATGTTTTTGATAGAGCAGTAAAACTTTAGAGATAGAAGAAATTCAGAATATCTATTTTTGATAAAAGGTGGAAACAGGTGAGGTACATTTTTGAAAGTCGCATAACTTAGAAAATGATAAACCCAGAATTTAAGCCCAGATCTTCTGATAAACCCAGAATTTAAGCCCAGATCTTCTGATGAACATGACTGGTGGCAGTCACTTCTGAAGCTGTCAGAATCCGTTCTGTGGGTGAAGTTGACCATGATACAGAATGTTGACTTGCGGCAAAGAACGAACGAAGATGTAGTTTGAGCATGGTCATTGCCACCTGTTTACAGAACTCTTACATTCCTTACATTCAGAACACTGGACATAGGTTATCACAACTGTCATAAAAAATAAAGTCATTGTTTTGGATAACTGAATTTAACTGCTTACAAAGTAGTACTTTTATTGTATTTCACTTTTAGGTTTAGAGGAAAGTCTTTTTCAAATGTCTTATGCATTTCCTTACATCCTTAAAACAGTGAACATAAATTTCCCTTTTTTGATTCAGGGTTATTAATATGAATTATTATTCTGTACTATATGGGGTAATGACTAAGGTTTTTTCAGATGTTTCCACCTTTACACTCAGTAGCTGTAGCCTGCAGTGATTTTGAGTTTTTATTTCTCTCCTCTTTGTCTTCTTTTCACTTGCTTTATGTTGTCATATTTCGCCCGTTGATACCCATTGATAGTGCTTCCTCTCTCTTTTCATATGCCTTGTACTAGAATACCAAACAATCAATTTAGTTAGACTTAGATTTAAGCTAAGAGTTAAGGGGCTCTGATCAGTGCCTCTCAGACAAATAAAGTATGTTTTGCTGTGTGGATTTAAAACTTCTTGTCAGAGGTCTTCTTTGCTTAATTCCCCATTCTTGGGTATATTCTCAGGCTGTGAGACTGTCTAAGAGCTGGATATGGATGGGTGAGGGATGCCTGGAGATAAACTTTATATCCAGTCTACAGAGACTTTCTTATTTAAATCCATTTTCTTTTTAACTCCATAATTCGGGTTTTTTTTTTTTGAATTTCAATTTGTTCCTTTATTTAGAATCCAGTGCTGAAATGGTATTAGTATATAGTACCTCAGGGCCATCGTAAATAGTTACAAAGCAAATTCTTTTCTAATTTACATACTCAACATTTTCTAGAATATTACATTTTTGAATTCTTTTTACAATTTGGGAAACTTAATTTCTTTATGGAATTGAAAATAAAGCTTTTGGTTATTTCAAATGTACTTCCTCATGCTCCAGTGTTATTACTAGATAGAACAGCAGATTAACTAATCATCTTTCTACTTGCAGACAAAGATACACCTGAATTACTTCCGCTAAAATGTTTTTTTCTCTTTCAATTGAGTAAAGAAAGACAGTTACCTTTGAAGAGTAACTTCTTTTCAAAGGTACTATTCATGTGTTCTCTCTGAACTGTATAGTTAACAGTTAACAGGCTCATTAAGATAATACAGGTGGGATTGCTTTTAGAAACCTGGATAAAATGGAAATTCTAAGGCAGTTCTTCACAGCGTAAGTAGCTCAGTGATATGCCCAAGACTTAGATGGTATTACTGAGTATTTTAATTTTGAATCACATAATGTAATAGCTGTTCCCTCTTGAATTCCCTTTCTGCCATTTGATTACATCTAAGAGAAGGTCTCAGCTTGGTGCTGTTCTTTAACACCTTTTAAACACCTACAAATGCCCCTTTAACCAAGAGAGAGCGAGTCTGGGTCACTCTTAGACTGGCAACAGTAACTGTGACAATAACATGTTTTCATTTATATTGCATTTATTCTTGTGGTCATTTCTGTTTTCAGGAAGTAATACTGATTGTTCATTTACAGTACTAATGTAAGTCTCCCTTTATAGCAAATTTATTTAACAAAAAAGGTCCATTTAAAAAAAAATATCCAGTAGACACCTGTGCACATATGGGAAAAAATGTGGGAATGTTAATAAAATAACTAACACTTTGGACACTGCCTTGAGGTACTTCAGTTACTCCATCTCAAGAAACAGGATCAGAATTCGTGGCTAAGGGTCAGTGTAAAGTAATAATTGAAGGAAATGGCTTTAGGGATGAGAACTCATCCAGATACAGTGTTTTTCCTTTACTGTGCCTGTGAAGGTATAGAATGACATAGCCAGACATAGTCTTTTTAAAACTTAGTTATTTAATTCAGTCAGAGGAATACTTTAAATGGCAGTTTGCCCTACATGCACTTTCTTTAAAAAGACATATTTCATGTTGTTCCATGGAGATTTGTACTCACATGAAAGATTTATAAAATGCCAAACAACTGATGTTTTTGTTGTCTCTTCCCACCATTTTCAGTCTTTTCTTTGATATCTAATTGTTTCAGTCAATACATTTACAAGTAACTAAAGAAATAGGAATCAAAAAAAATCTCGTCTTATGATATTTTTGTCATTTAGATATATTTTCTGTCATCTTGTAAAACATTTCCTTTGATAATAGGAAATAAATATCTAAGTTAGCAGCTGTAACTTTAAAGTTGTGTATAAGTCTGTGCAGAATATATGAGAGCTTGCCTCCTTATTTTATCTTCTGAAAGTGAGCCCAGAGTATAAATAAACATGTGAGCTGTTGAAGAGCAGAGGTTTTCTTGAACATTTATGTTCATCCTGATAAGTATTTTTAATTTCCTTATTTTTATGTAATTGCATATAATTTTTATTTGAATGAAAATGTAAAAGTATCTCCATTTCTGTCTACAAGTTTTGATCCTCTAACACATTTTTTCCTAAAAACAAGAGTATTTTTAATGATTGATTGATTGAATTCTGAGCCCAGCTTAAAACTCGGACTATTTTGAACATTTAGGTCAAAGGCTTGCTACCAAGATTGAAGGAAAAAGTTGATCTTCTGGTGTTTAATCCCCCCTATGTGGTGACTCCACCTGAAGAGGTAAGACAGAAGACAAAATCTAAATTACTAATATTTTCAGCTATTTTCTGTCTAAAATCAAATATATTTCATCATACGACATCAGTTATCAGGTGCTAATTAACACAAACTGCTCTGATTTTACTCATAATTGTCAGTAATTAGGTACTATTGGTAGACATTTGAAAGGAACCTAAAACTGATGGAAATACAGACTGTGACCCCATCCATTCTTTAAAATCCTATCCAGATCAGGCCATGGTGTTTAAATTCATATATGTGTGTGTATCCTTTATCATGAATAACAAATTTATAAAACCGAAGATTTCTAATCAGTCTTAAATTCACATCGGAATTCTTTCTGAAAGTCTCAGGTTTCTTCCTTTCACAGGTATCAGGAAGTAGTGGGTGGGGAACCAGTTCTAATTTCAGGTGGGAAAAAGAAAGAACTTTGAAATACATGATTGTAAAATTTTCAATAATGAAGACATAAACACCATATTAATCATTTCCCAATTTAAGGAGAGAGTGGTCAAAGCAGACAAAGTTTGATAATGGACTAGTGTTAGCTTTCCTTTGAGTTTTTTGATGAGCACTCTCTGGCAAGGTGGATGAACGTTACCGTCACCTCTGCCAAGATGGGAAAGGTCCGTGTTGCTCCTGTTACTACCAGGAGAAGCTGTTGCTCCTCTGAGGTATGAATTCATGTGAGAAGGGAGGTCATTGTCCTAAGGTGAACAGCAGTTGAGAGAAATGCAGCTTAATAAAACTCTTTAGGAAAGCATTATGGGAGTAAAAATCACGAGTGACAAAGATGTTTCAGTCCAGTAATCTTAGTCGTTGAGATCTCACTGAGAAAAAAATCATTCAACGATAGAATAAAAATTTTAATTCACAAAAATATGTTGCATCTTTATTTATGATGGCAAATAATATGAAGTATATATGTAACAGAAGAAAAATAACTAAGTAAATCATGGTTTATCAGGTCGATAAGCTACTGGGAAGACCACTGGGCGAAGGGTAGACTCTGGGACCATGGTGACACGAACGGGCTTCCTTTCTCCCACATTCCGTCTGCTCAGCTACGTGCTTGCTGGTGGCTGCCGGGATGTATAGATGGCTGAGCTTGGGCAGTGTCGTGGGCTTTGTCACAGTTCTAACAGCGAGAACTAGTGTGTCATAATTTCTACTAGCTGAACATTTGGCTGGAGAGCAGGATTAAAATGCAGCACAGTAAAGATTTCCTGGAGCTAAAATACATGTCTTACAGTAAAACATTAGGAAATGAATTAGAAGAGAATGTAGTTTCTGTCAAGACTTGAATCAGTGGTTTGGAAACCTTATGAAATAAATATTCCTGTGCATAGAGCATGAAGATAAAAATAAGGAAATTGTGAAGGTGAAAGTTAAGAGACTTAGAGGTTAGATCCAGGAGACATACAAATAATCAAAGTCTGTGCATATAAAAAGTTGTGGCTTTACTTACGATTACATCCCTAAACGTGAGGTTAGGTACTTGTGGGTTCGTCTCTGTGACCTGTGAAGGATCACAAGCTGGCACAGCAAGGCCCAGGTAGCAGGCAGCCAGCAGACCACCAAACATGACTCCTCCTCCGACGATGGAAGCCTCCTCTCTGTGGCCTGTAAGAATGTGATCGGTGCCAGGCAGTCTTCCTGGAGGGCCATCTCTAGTGCAAGCTGCCACACCTGGCTGAGCGTCCCTGGGGAGACGTGTAAACTGGGTCCAGCACAGAGGGCTCCTGGTCTACACTAAAACAGTGACCAGAGACAGGCTTGGCAAAGGCCATCGTCAGCATGCACTCTGTCCACAGATCACTTTACCCTATGACACATCCAAAGAACAGGCTCCACCAATATACCAAGGAAGAGGAAGACATGAGCCCCTGAAAAAGGGAATCCTAGGAATGGTAGGAAAGAAAAGTCTCCAGGAGAAAAGTCTGGACAAAAAACAAACTGATAAATTCCCTAATAGGATTAATTTTGTGGAAAATTATATTGAGAAGCTTATGATAAATACGTGAATAATTTAAATTAGATACCAAAAAATTAAGCAGATGAGCATACTGAATGCCAATAAGTAGCTAAATAAGATATGATACTTTTCCACCATAAAATATTATGCAGCCCTTAAGACAGTGAGTTAGAACTATACCTGATAACATGAAGAGCTTTTCATAAGGTATTGTTGAGTGAGAAAAGCGAGATACAGCTAAGAATGTAGATAGAACCCTGTCTTTGTAAAGCACAGACAAAAAGGAAAAAGAAAAACAGTGTGTGTGTCTATGTAGAAGATCGGGGTTGGGGTGGTGACAGATGAGCAAAATACTAAAAGGGGAAAGTACAGTTTTTTTTTAAACAGGTATGTGAACATATTTCTCATTTTTGTAAAATTATATATGTACATGGTTATAGGTATAAATTATTTTTAATGGGGAAATATATGCCATGATAAATGAATAAAAGCAGAATGTACAGTTGTATGTAAATAATTTAAAATATGGACAAAAACTATTGAAGGGATTAGAAAGAAAATAATTGTGTTAGAGTTTAAGTGGTTTTTGAGTGATTTCTTCAAAGTTTTCCTTAGTTTTAAAAACAATATACAATGGTAAGGATCTAAAGATTTTTAATACTATATAAACTCTCATGGGTTCTATTTCTATTATATAGTTAGATCATTATAGGGAAAAATGCTCCAGGGCACATTTATATAATAAATGGGCTCCTAAAAGAGGTTTATGTGATTCATGCTCCAAGGGATCTAGAAGAGAGCTAGACGCTGTGGTACATTTTGAAACTTTGTTTCTGGGAAGTGAATCTCTTATATACAAGTTCTCCCTTCTAATTCCTTCCTAATTATTCTATATTAAGTACAAGAATTTAAACATGGTATTAGTAGTAACAGCTATTATTAAGTCCTTAACACATGCAGGGCACTGTTCTTAAACTTTAAATATACGTCCTCATTTATTTCTAACTATGAACAAAAATAGTTTTTTATCACTCTCCGAATTTTACAGATGAAACTTGTTATTTTTATAATTTCACAGATAAGAGAGGAAACCAGTTCACCCAGATTACAAACTTACACAGGGTCCACATGCTAGGAAACAATGGGGCTCAGCTTCAACTTTCATACCGTCTCTTCATCAGCAGTAAAATGCAAAATATATACCTATGCGGTGAATGTTACCTGCCAGAAAGATTCAGCTTTTTTAATGTAACTTAAGTAAAAACAGAAGAATCTGTCTGATTGGTCACAGGTAGGAAGTCACGGGATAGAGGCGGCGTGGGCTGGTGGCAGAAACGGTCGCGAAGTCATGAGCAGATTCTTTCCCCTGGCTCCAGACCTCCTTTCACCAAGAGGGCTGTTCTTCCTGGTTACCACTAAGGAAAACAACCCAGGTAATAGAAACCGGTTGATTTTTCACCCATTTACTTTGCTAAAATCGAGGTTAATTATGTCAAAGACTGTAATTTATTAAGTAACCTGGACCGTTAAAGAATGTGCTCACTCACAGCAGCTAACACAGACACAGCATTCATGTTGAAAGATGAGAAAGATGTGTAAGAGGTCTATTTTTCTGGTTTTAAAGACTATTGTCTTTTTTCGGGGGGGGGGAATAGTTTTTCCCCTAATTTATAAACTAATATTAAAATACAAAATCTGTAATTTCTTCTTCTCCCACCTCACCCTCACTACTGTGAACCTTCTCACCATCTTCTAGTCTTCATGTCCTTGACGATTCTGCTATATGCTCTTTAGTTCATCTGAAGTTTTACCACGAAAGGTATCTCCTGATACTGGTTTTTATGTCTCAGTTTTCAAACTGCTGAATTGACCCTAATCTTTCTTCTCTTTTCTGTACATCTCAGGCTTGCTTTTTATCTCCTACATTATATTCTCAGCCCCTCAAATCACATCATGATTACTAGGGGGTTTTTTGTTTGGTTGGTTTTGGGGTTTTTTATTTTTTGTAACTCCATTTTATTAGTCTAGTCTCTTATTTGAAAAGGGAAGATTTTGCTTCTTTCAGTACTGCTAAAAGAAATAAGCTACTTCAGTTACCATGACTTTTCAGTGTCACCACGTGGTTTGCCCATACCCTTGTTGATGTCTTTCATCCACAAGGAAGGATATAGGGCAGGCGTTAGAGGCAAGCAACTAAAAAATGGATCATTTACTGTAATAACAAGTATAAGTAATGTTTCTGTTGAGTCCAGGGTAGGCTCATACTGCAAAACAGTCATTCAGTCTGATTAGAATTCTCAGCAACACCTTGAAAATACAGAGTGCTCTCATCTGTCTGAAATCCAAGTTTACTGTACTAGAAATTACATGGTATATGCTGTTTTCTCAGATGAATAGAATTTGTAAATAGCCTGCATTTATCATCTTATTAAACTGTTTAGTGATCATACACACTTCACCAAATAAATTAATGTTTTATTTTAATCTTTATTTTAGAAGACATTTTGAAAATAATGAAAACAAAAGGTCTACAAGGGACCACTGCACTTTCCAGGCAAGCAGGCCAAGAATTCCTTTCAGTCCTCAAGTTCACCAGATCCTAGTCTACAGTACGTGCTTCTTAAAGCTGAATGCATTCAACGTATTTTGAAACTGGAGTCATTTCTTGGTTAAGGAGTAAAACTGTCAGAAATCTCTCATACAGAAAAGGTGGAACGTTAGGGCGTTCCTTTTTACCTAGGAGTCAGGCTACAGAAATATTTGCACAAATGCAAGTAAATGTATATATATTATATGTACAATTTGCATTTTGTATATTACTATATATGGAGAATATATATAATATAAAAGTTATATATGAGAGGATGTTCATTTCAGCATTACTTGTAATAGTAAAGTCCATCAGCAAAGGGATATAAATTACAGTCTATTCATGTTACTGAACTTGAGTGACATATACAGCTATTAAACACAAGTCAGTCCTGAATATACTGAACCAGAGGGGGTTCATGATGCCCTATTGAGTAGTGAAGAGAAGCAAGTTGCAAAATAATATTAACCTATGTGTTTATTTTTGGAAAACAGGGTATTTATATGTGTATATAAGAAATTCTGATGGCAGGTAACAGGTGGAATAGAGGAACCTTCATCCTTTTGTAGTAGCGTTTTGTACAATAATGTATTACTTCTATATTAAATAAAAATTTTTAAATTTGCCTTTACTCGCTTACTGTCTCTGTTCTCTTTCTGTTATTTATAATGGCTTCTGCCTCCTTTCGTCCCCCGGTCACATTTTTCCTACTTTTTATCCTGTATCATATATTTCTATTTTCTTCTTGCATCTTTATTGCAAACTGCTTTCGTTTTTCCTTAGACTAAGGAGAGTTGTATGTAAACTCACCACTCAGATTTATCACATCTTTAAGAGCACACATATGTCTTTTAAGAAATTACTTCTGCTAAATTTAGGAACCTCTTCTGTAACTTCCCCACCATTCAGAACGTAGAGTTGACCCTTAAACGACATGTGTTTGAACTGTGAGGGTCCACTTATATGCATATTTTTTCCAGTAAATAGCATACTACACTACTTCACAATCAGTGGTTGGTTGAATCCTCGGGTGCCGTGGAGAGCTGACTGTAAAGTTATAGGTGAATTTTTGACTGCAGTGGGAAGGAGGGAGTTGGCACCCTAATCCCCGTGTTGTTCAAGGATCAACTGGATTTATCAAAACCAATGAGCAGGACTGTGTAAGACCAGAGTGGAAGGAATCTCAAATTTATTTTTATTTTTTATTTTTTTTAATTGACGTATAGTCAATTTACAGTGTGCTGATTATTTCTGGTATACAGCATAATGTTTCCATCATATGTATATGTATTTGTTTTCATATTCTTTTTCATTATGGGCTACTACAAGATATTGAATATAGTTCCCTGTGCTATACAGAAGAAAATTGTTGTTTATCTATTTTATATATACTAGTTAATACTCCCAATTTGAAATCCCAATTTATCCCTTCCCACCCCCTTTGCCCCTGGTAACCATAAGATTGTTTACTATGTCTGTGAATCTGTTTCTGTTTTGTAGGTAAGTTCACTAGTGTCTTTTTTCTTTTTTTAGACATATGATTGATATATGGTATTTTTCTTTCTCTTTCTGGCTTACTTAGAATGACAATCTTCAGTTCCATCCATTTTGCTGCAAATGGCATTATTTTATTCTTTTTTATGCCTGAGTAGTGTTCCATTGTATAAATATACCACAGCTTCTTTATCCAGTCATCTGTTGATGGACATTTAGGTTGCTTCTATGTCTTGGATATTGTAAATAGTGCTGCTGTGAACATTGGGGTGCAGGTGTCTTTTCGAAATAGAGTTTCTTCTGGATATATGCTCAAGAGTGGGATTGCTGGATCATATGGTAAGCTGATTTTTAATTTTTTAAGGAATCTTCATACTGTTTTCCATAATGGCTGCACCAAACTGCATTCCGACCAACAGTGTAGGAGGGTTCCCCTTTCTCCACACTCTCTCCAGTGTTTATCATTTGTGGACTTTTTAATGATGGCCATTCTGACTGGTGTGAGGTGATACTTCATTGTAGTTTTGATTTGCATTTCTCTGATAATTAGAGATACTGAGCATTTTTTCATGTGCCTGTTGGCCATTTGTATGTTTTCATTGGAGAATTGCTTGTTTAGGTCTTCTGCCCATTTTTGGATTGAGCTGGTTTTTTTGTTATTAAGTTGTATGAGCTGTTTTTATATTCTGAAAATTAAGCCCTTGTCAGTCTCATCTTTTGCAAAATATTTTCTCCCATTCCATAGGTTGTCGTTTTGTTTTGCTTATGGTTTCCTTTGCTGTGCAAAAGCTTGTAAGTTTAATTAGGTCCCATTTGTTTATTTTTGCTTTTATTTCTGTTGCCTGGGTAGTCTGTCCTAGGAGAACATTGCTGAGATTTATATCAGAAAATGTTTTGCCTATGTTTTCTTCTAAGAGGTTTATAGTATCTTGTTTTATACTTGTCTTTAAGCCATTTTGAATTTATTTTTGTGTATGGTGTGAGGAATTGTTCTAACTTCATTGATTTACATGCAGCTGTCCAGTTTTCCCTACACCACTTGCTGAAGAGTCTGTCTTTTTTCTTCATTGTATGTTCTTGCCTCCTTTGTCAAAGATTAACTGATCATAAGTCTGTGGGTTTATTTCTGGGCCCTCTGTTCTGTTCCATTGATCTATATGTCTGTTTTTGTGCCAATACCATGCTGTTTTGATCACAGTGGCTCTGTAGTATTGTCTGAATTCTGGGAGGATTTTTCCTCCAGCTTTGTTCCTTTTCTTCAGTATTGCTTTGGCAGTTCTGGGTCTTTTGTGATTCCGTATAAATTTTAGGATTATTAGTTCTGTGAAAAATTTCCTGTGTAATTTGACAGGGATTGCATTAAATCTGTAAATTGCTTTGGGTAGTATGGCCATTTTAACAATACTAATTTTTCCAATCCAAGAACATGGGATATCTTTCCATTTCTTTAAGTCACCTTTCTAGAATTTATTTTTTAATTTGGCTACATTCAGAATCACCTGCAGAAGTTTTTTTTTAAGATTATAAATTCCTAAACCTCACCATAAATCCATGGAATACTTTGCTGCTCAGACCTAAAAACTATATTTTTTTTAAATGTACTTCCCAACATTCTTTAAGGCAGCCTGTCCAATTTTAGAACTATTGCTTTAAATAGCATTCTCATTTAATCCTTAGGACAATCCACAGAAAGAGTGGAATTAACATCCTTTTATGTTCATAAAGTTTAAATAATTTGTTCAAAGAAACACAGTAGTAAAGGGTAAAGACAATATGGCAACATTTCAGACTCAGATCTGACTCCAAAAGCTGTCTTTTCCTTTGCTTATGTGCTCTGAGCAGCAAAAATGTCAAAGTTAGTATTTACTTAAATCTAACATCTGTAAATAAATTCCCCTTCCCAGAAATAGAGCCATCAGAATGAAATTTTCTAATAAACAACCTCTTACATCCCAGGGGGGGAAAAGAGATAAATAATCTTAGAATTTTATTGTGGGTTTTTGGTCATAGTTTTGGGAGTGAAGTCTTGAATATTTTTTCAATAACATTTGAAATACTTTGAAATTAGTATAGAGGACTTCCATCAACATAGGAAACTAAACATAGAAAGGCTATGTAAAAGACATCAAAAATTTCACATACATAGCTGTTCCTGACTGAGCTGCGTCTCCCCTGACCCCCACCACTACCAGATTCATATGTTGAACCCCTGGTTTAGGACCTCAGAACGTGACTGTATTTGGAGTTAGGGTCTTTAGAAAGGTAAAGTCAAATGAGGCCGTTCGGGTGGGCCCTAATCCAATCTGACTGGTGTCCTCAAAAGGAGATTAAGAGACAGCAGGGATGCTTGCACACAGAGGAAGGAGCGTGCGAGGACACAGTGAGAAGGAGAGGCCCACAGAGACAGCAGACACGCTGGCACCATGGTCCTGGACTCCCAGGCCCCCGAGCAGTGAGGAAGTAAGTGTCAGCTGTGTCGGGCCTCCAGCCGGTAGCGTTTTGTCATGGCCGCCCTAGCAGACTTAATAGCCCAAGACTGGGAAATACCCACATTCTGCAAACAAGAGAAAGCAATACTAGTGTGAAAAATGGGTACTGATGTCCTGGTGGTCAAGAGAAATGTGGCCCCAGGCCTTTAGGAGAAGAGCTGCAAATCTAGCTCCCTTGGCATTAAAAAAAAAGCTGTTAAATATTTTTAAAAAGAGGACCCATAAAACCACATTATTTGGCCCCAGGGAAGCAGAAAAAAATTGACGTTGGACCTTGAATGGAAAGAAAAATAGTAATAATTTAGGAGAAATCAGCCCTCACATCTGTGTTACACTCTGTTGTAGGATCTAATTTACACCGTGTAAGGTAGCAATGTTAACATGAAACAGTTCACATTAAAATTATCTAGACCATTGATCACCAAGAAGTTAAGCTACAGTCAGTGAGAGCAGGGAAAAAAAAAACAGAATTGGATGCCCAAAGAATACAGAGAGTGGAATTTGTATAGAATATTTGAAATGTTCAAAGAATTAACACAATCACAGAAAAGCACACAAAAAAATACTCTTGGAAAGAACAAATTCAAGGCAACTTTTAAAAATGAGAAATAGAATTCCTGAAATCAAAGACCACTATGGAGAGGGTAAACCATGAACAGGAGAATCGATGAACTGAAAGTAATTCACAGAATGCAGCCCAGAGAGAAAAGAAAATATGAAAGAAAAGTAATAATTATGGAGGAAAGAATGAAAAGGTCTAGCAAGTGAGAATCCCAAAAAGAATGGAAGAGAGGGAATGTTTACAGAGATAATGGCTAATGTTTTTCCAGAACTGACTTTGTAAAAAGAAGATGAATCTTGCAGGCACAAACAGGACAAAGAAAGACCCACACCTAGACATCAGTAGTGATACTACAACACACCAGAGGCAGAGACCTTAGAAGGCAATGAGAGCGGAGGTACAAGTCACTGTTTTAAGCAGGGCTCAGCAAACTGTTTGTAAATAGAATTTTAGAACAGAGCCATGCCTGCTCATTTCTGCATTGCCTGTTATTATCCAGGCGGGCTCTGAGTGTAATCACAGTGTATTATAAGAGGCGAAGGGAGATTTTAATAGAAGAGAAGGCATTATGATGATGCGCTACTGTCTTTGAAGGTAGAACAAGGGACCTTGAGCCAAGGTTTGCAAGGAATGAGCCCTGGAAGCTTGAAAACACAAGGAAATGATTCTCCCCTAGAGCCTCCTGAGGGAGGGAGGCTCCGCTGACACGTTGACTTAGAGCTACGTACATGCATATGGCAGGCAGAATGCCCCCCCACTCCCCCCGCCATAAAAGATGCCCTAATCCCTGGAACCTGTGACTATGTTACATTACATGACAGAGGGGACTTTACAGATGTAATAATTAAAGCTATGACCTTAAGATGGGGAGATTTAATTCTAGGTTATCTGGGTGG